CCAAAAAAAAAAAAAAAAAAAAAAAGATTTTAGCTTGGGAGAGAAGCAAGGTTCTGTTTTGAACATCTTAGATTTGAGATGCCTATCAGATATCCAAGCCGAGATGTCAAGTAGGCAGTTGAAGAGAACATCAAGGCTGGAGATAGAGGTTTGGGTGTCCTCGCTACATTTACAGACAAAGTACTACATAAAATTATGTAAGGAGAAGGCACAGATGGGTAACATCAGAGCCCTGACCTACCCGTGGGGCATAGTGATATTCAGCATTGAAAAGTGGAGAAGTAAATCACAGTACTGAAAAGCAGTTGGCAGTGAGTGAAGAGAAAAAACAGCAGTGCAGTGTCCAGGAAGCAAGAAAAAGAAAGTGTCTTAAGGAGAGAGGGAGGCAGTTGCCAAGTGCAGTCGAGAAGTGCAGTAAGACGAGAACTCCCAATTGCCACTGGTTTTGGCAGCTCAGGAATTACTGTTGTCTTTAAGAGACCAGCCTTAGTCATCTAGTGAGGTGAGAGACCAAATAGAAACAGTTGAAAAAGAATGAGAAGCATGAAAGTGAAATAACTTCCTTTAGACAATTATTTTAAGCTTTGCTGTAAAGGAAAGCACTCAATATATGACGCTGGAAAAATAGGACTCATACAGTTTCATTATTCACTGGAAATTTCTGAAGGATGTGAAAATTTGTTTTCCATTCATTTATTATCGCATGTACAATTAGGATTATGATGTATTCTGTCTTGGTTGTTGGAAAAGTCATGACTCTTTTAATGTTTTTCTATGCATGAATGTGTCATGACTTTTCTGACAGCCCAACAGAGTTATATTCCTCATGGAATCTGTAAAAGCCTGTGGGAAATCATAAATGCAAATCACAGCTAAGTAAATTGTAGAAAGAAGAGAAATGTAGGTTTTCTTAGATAAAAACTTCTTATGGATCTTAGACGAATCTCTCTCAAATGCTGTAGTAACTAAGAATTGAACCTTATACATAAATATTAATAAGAAGTATCATATAACACTGAATTAACAAATTCAATCAAATATTAAAAGTATTAGATGGGAAATTGAAGGAAACCTATGGTAAAAATTTTAATAGCTATGTTAATACCATGTTTCAGAAACAATCTTAAGTTGTGAACAGTAGTTAGCATAATGGCTATGTCACTGGACTCCCACGTAGTTGACCGCAGTTCGAGTCCCGGACCTGGTGTCTTAAACTCACGCCAGGCGCGTGTGCATGTGTGCCCAAGATCCCGAGAGGAGAATGGAGAAGAAGGGATTGCAGCATGGACATCACCCCTGGAGGGTGATTTCTCACTTTCTGTCTCTCTCTGTCTTTCTAGCAAGCGCACTAGCCCTGTAGCAAAAAAAAAAAAAAAAAAAAAAAAAAAAAAAAAAAAACCCCCAAAAGTTTGGCTGCTTACAAAAATATACAGAATTATAAAATGTATAAATAAACGAGGAAGTTTAAGCTAAAGGAATGGATGAGCACTAAGTAGGGACATTTTGTTATGATACATTTGTTTTCTTTTTGATTTTTTAACTATATAAATGTATTATCTACCCAGAAAACTAAGATTTTTAATTCAGAGTTTCAATCCAAGCCTAAAGAAACAGATAACTGAATAGGTCTCAGCAGTAATGGTGGGATATTGTTTTACATAGGCTTTAGGTCACACCAGAGTGGGAAAAGAAAGTTCTATGTTAGCTGTGTTGAAGAAGAGCCTAAATATATAAAGGGAAAATCAGTGACCAGGGGCCCAATATTTAGAAAAAGTCTTCTGATAGGGAAATTGAACACAATTATCATAGATGTGATATGAGTGGGAACATATTGGGTTGCTGGAAGAGTCATGATGCCTTTTTGCATAAAAATGGGAGCACTCATTCTAGGCCAGAGTCGTTTTTCTCAGTGTTTTGGTTTTTCATTGTTTTCTTATTTTACATTTTTTTCTTTTACTATATAGACAAATTTGGTACATGTTAGACTATTCTCTGGAATGCAGAAAAAAGTGACTTCTGCTGAAGCTGGAAGCTCATGAGGATAGCAAAGGAAAAGGGCTAGCTCCTCTCAGAGGTCCTCAGGGTTGACGTCCAGCTCTGTTATATCTTTCCCAAGTGCATCAGACAGAAATAAACAGTATTTTGAAAGTGAGTGGTCCCTCAGTTCTTACCAGGATATGCTACTAGTTCCATTTATTATCTTTTTTGTTGTTGTTGTTGTTCATTTTATGAGAGAGAGAGAGAGTAAGGAGAGAAAGAGGAAGCGAGAAATTGGTGTTTTTGACAGGGTCTCTCTGTGCCAGGACCCTCCTGCCCCAATCTTCCAATTAGCAAGATTCCAGGCATGTGAAACCAACCGCACTTGACATGTTCAGGTTGACCTAGACATTGAACCGAGGCCTTTCATGTGACTTTCAGCCTTCCAGGCAGTGGCCCTACCAGTACACCACTGCAGCTTGGCCTGCTTTCTATTTTGAAGCTATTTTAACCAGCATTTGTTGATCTTTCCAATGGGTCATTTTTCCCTCTGCCTATGTAATTTCATGATGCAACAAACTGGTATGTTTACCTCTTTCAAGAACTCAAACTCAATACTTTATAAACTTAATTTGTTTCTCTAAACAACCAACCACCATCTCTTAACTTCACTATATTTTAATTAGTAGTCTATTTTTTAGAGCAGTTGTACATGTACAGAAAAGTAAAACAGAAAATGGAGAGTTCCTATACACTTTCCCCCATCCTCCAGCACAGTTTCACCAATTGTTAGCATCTTGCATGAGCATGCGACATTTGCTACAATGATGAGGCACTATTGACATATTATTCAATAAAGTCTGTAGTTTGCCTTAGGGTTCCCTCTTTGTGTTGTACATTTATGGATATTGACAAATGTATAAAAACATGCGCCACCATTATTGCATCATATAGAGTAATTTCACTGTCCTAAAAATCTTCTCACTCCTCTTTTCTCCCATCTGCCAACCCTGCCCCTGGCAAGCATTGATCTTGTAGCTCTCTCCATCATTTTGCCTTTTCCACAACGCCACAGAGTTGAAATGATACAACATGTATCCTTTTTATTCATAACATGCATTTAAGATGCCTGCATGTCTTTTATGGTACAATAGTTCATTGCTTCTAAATAGTGAATAACATTTCCTTTAAAAGCCAACTGGAGATGCAACTGTGCATTGCTGGAATGACGTGGGGTCTGAGGTCTTGTCCTGAGGTCTCCTGTACATGCTAGGAGCACTCACGTGTGTCATAATCTGTGCTGAATAAGACTGGGAGTGAATCACAGTGTGAGGGTCCTCTCAGAAGTGCCTGTGTATCTCTCTGTTTCTGTTTCTCTACCTCTCTATGAAGGAAAAAATAAATAAACTTAAAACATATTTCATTTTATGGATATACCACAGCTTATTCAACCATCTATTGAAGGTCATCTTGGTTGTTTAGAAGTTTTGGCAAGTATAAACAAAGAAACTACAATAAAGCATTCATACACAGGTTTTCATATGGACATAGTTTCCAACTCATTTAGATAAATACCAAGAACATAATTGCTAGATTGCATGTTAAGAATATGTTTAATTTTCTAAACTGTCAAACTGTCTTCCAAATTGGCTCTACTATTTTTACCTTCCTACCAGTAATGAATAAGAGTTCTTATTGTTTCACATCCTTGTTAGCATCTAGTGTTGTCAGTGTTTTGAATCTTGGACATCCTAATAAGTATGTAGTGGGATCTCATTGCTTTAATTTGCAGTTATGTCTTTTTTTTCCTTTTAAAGCACTTTATTAATATGTTTACCACTAAGTAGAAGAAAGTTTGTTTACCAGGAAGATCAAAATCCTTATTTTACAACATAAGAGAAAAGCACCTAGGAGAGTTTGGCACAACTCTGATGAACTTCAGAATTCCTGATTTCCAGACATGTTAAGCTAGAAAGAACACTAAATCCCTAACTCCTGAAATGATACACAAGCACTGACACTATTTCTTTAATTCTTCTGATGTTCACACTTACAAACCAATATAGCTCATCTAACTCTTCTTGCAAAAAAAAAAAAAGAAAGAAAGATTAAATATGATAAACAATACTATCACTTTTTTTTTCTTTTTTTTTATTTTTGGAGAGTGTTTTTTTTTTTTTTTTTTTTGCTTTAGCCAGACAGACAGAGAGAGGCAGAGAGATAGAAAGCGAGAAATCACTCCCCAGGGGAGATGGCTACACTGCAATCCCTTCTCCTCCATTCTCCTCTCGTGATCTTGGGCACGCACGCACACGTGCCCGGCATGAGTTTTTAAGCCATCGGGTCCAGGACGCGAACCGCAGTCGACTACATGGGAGTCCAGCGACATAGCCATTATGCTAACTGCTGGTCCCAGCAATATTATCACTTTTGAAACAAGATTATTAGTATCAAAGCAGAATAAAATACAAATATTACTAATTGGAGTATCACTCATTCCTTTTTTTTTTAACCTCAGATGTCTTCAAATGTTCAACAATATTTTAAAGATTTTTCTATGCAGGCTAATACACAGACTTCACTTCCTTTATGAGAGAAATGTGCGAACAGTACCCTTGATTATACCCCTACAAATAGGGCATTTCCTTAGGGAAGGAGCACATTCCTGGCACACTACCAGATGACCACAAGGAATGAATACAATAGAAAGGTTTTTTTCCATACCTACTTCACAAGTTCATTCTTCTTGTAACCTCCTCAATTGTTCTTCCAGTGACAGACTTGGAACATCTTCTGTTGGAATATACTTCATTTTTTTTCCCCACAAGTAAGTTCTTATAGAATATAGAATCAATTTCTTTTAGACCGATTTTGAAGATGTTGGCTGCAGCATTTCCTTTAGCTAAAACAGTATCGATCAGTTCTCTTGCTTGTAAAGGTATCTGTGTTTTTTGTTTAATAATATCATGTTCCAGTTTGTTAATTATATTGGTCTTTAAAAGATTATCCAGGATAGGAAGCACACACGTCCACAGTTGAAGGAGAGCCATTCTGTTCTTCCGATTTAATGACAAATTATCTGATGCCCGTTCTTCTACTTGTCTTTCCTTCTCCTCTTCTCTTTTTGCATCTTCAGCACTAAGAAGTGCAGATACCATATCATTAACTGTTCTGTAGTTCTCTCCAGTTGACAGGACTTTACTCTGAACTGTCTGTTTCACCAGGCTTCTACTAAAGTTCATTTCCAAGACAGAATTTAATTTGCAATTCTCTAATGACATATGATGTTGAGAATATTTTCATATGATTATTTGCCACGTATATGTCTTCTTTTTTGAGGTGTTTTTCAGATCTTTTGTCCAGTTTTTAACTGGGTTGTTTATTCTATTATTGCTGAATTTTAAGAATTATTTGCATATTTTGGAGATCATTTCTTTACCAGATATATGTTTTACAAATATTTTCTCCCATTCTGTGCTTTGTTATTTCATCCTCTTAATCTCATTTATTTTTAATGAGACAACCATCATCTCATGTAAAATTGAGGCTCAAAAACTGTTATTTTGACTCTTTTCTCAATTTACAGACACATTTTGTTATCGCTAGAAAAACTCTAACCTCATATCACTGTCATTACCTTATCATGCCTTTTCAAATTATTTCAATGACTTCTTCCATAGAGTTAAGATTTCAGTCTGTCAGAACTATGAAAGCTCTGAGATTTTCCCCTACTTGCAAACTAGCAAGTTACCCTGCCACAGTTTAATGGTTGCTGTCAAGAAGACATGAGATCCTGGGTCAGATACAAATGACTTTATAACTAAACTTTTTCTATTTAGTATGATGTTAGCTATGGGTTTTTCGTAGATGGCTTTTATTGCATTGAGAACTGTACCTTCTATGCCAATTTTAATGAATCTTAATAATGAAGGCATATTGTATTTTATAATATTCTGGAAAAGATGGTTTGGGACTGAAATCATCAATGCCTTTTCTCAGAATGTACAGAATGTAGGCAGAAATGTGAAAGACTCATGGAAAATGTTCTCTCTCCAGTTCATCGTAAAGTGCCAAAGTAAGTATTTCATTTTTTTCAAAGGCTCCTTATGCTTAACAAAAACACCACTGATAGTTTTCTAACTATTAATTTAACTAAACAAAATAGAAACTCCTTAGCAGAGCATCAAAACCATTCAATACTATTCTCCTAAATGCCTCATCCAATCTTTGATTTTTATTTATTTTATCTATGATAGAGCACATGTGGGTGTATGCATGAGAGAGAGAGAGAAGTACCCTCAGAGGGACGATCACACCATAGTCACCCTCCTTAGTCAGCCAGCTCACCAGGATCTTGGGTACATGTACATGTACATAGAGTGTTTTCCAGGCTGACAGGTAGGGGACTCAACTGTAGTTAGCATGTGGCTGCTAACTCCATGACCTGGTTCACTACCAACTGTGCCATAGAGACTGGGCCCATCCCTTCTAATCTTAATTTCTGCAGCTTCCAGATATATGTCATCAATATCAGCCAAGATGAACACTTTTGCCCTTTCTCCTCATTAACCAACTTTATCTTTTCATTCCTTCCATTCTCCCTGTCTCAAAAGCTATCTTCATTTCAACAACTTTATGAATACCGTCAGGCTATCAGGAAACTCAAGATGTATTTTTATGTTTTTCTATGCAAATGTGCATCCTGACTTTCCCAGAAACTCAACATTTGTTCAAACATTAAGTTAAATGATCTCTCTCACGTGAGGCATTTTTTAAATGAATTCCTTTCTTCTGAATTTTTATAGTGCATCCCTCCTCACAACTCAGGCTAAATATTCTATTACAGTCAGTTATATATTTGTGTTTTATCTCTATTAGCATGCAAACATCCAGGGTCTATATTTCTTCAGTTTTGTGTCTCTTGTACCAAGAACTATGTTTAGTAAACATTGAGTGAATAAAATAAATGTTGTGATTTTTGTATTTTTCTAAAGAATTTCTATAAAAGAAAAAGGGTATAATCTGGAAACAAAATGAAACAAAACTGAATCTGAATGAAAGAAAACTGTTCCCTGACCTGCCAATTTATTTTCATCACTAAAATAATCAGGTCTTTTTAGACTTTTAGGGTAAAATGGCACAAATTCTAGAGCTTCATTTTATGGAACCTGCTATAATTTTTTAACCTCATGTGAAAGTAGCAAAACAAAATGGAAAACTTCATTCTAGCTTGTCAACATCCTTATTTTTATCCCTTTTATCTTGACTAAAATCCTTCTCTAACTTTTCTGTTTGACATCCTTTGAGTGCTTTCATGTTTGCATTGTTCATCATGAAGTCACCTTGCACAATCCAGCCCTCCCAAGAGGAGAGCAGGTTCCAATTAAGCTAACAGCCAGCAGGACGAACAGTGTCCACTGAGATCAGAAAAACACAATGTTTTCAAGAAAGAAAGGTTCACAATTCTTTTTCTAGAAATAGTAATGTACAAGCAGCAGCTCAGCTTACAGGCAAGACAAGATCAAGATGGCTTCATCCAAAAGACTACAGGAAAAGAGGGAAAACTAGGGAGACAGTGAGATATCCAAAGAGAGATGCAAGATGAAGACTCAAGATAAAAGCATGGGCTTTGTCTTCACAAGTTCTGCGTTTGAATGTGAGAATCTGCTTCTTACCATCTCTTTTGTCTATTCATCAAGTGTTCTTTAAGTGTCTAGCAGTCAACAAAGAAAGTATAATCTTAGCTTTTGTAGATATTACAGTCAAGCAAGGCATAGACCAAAAGCAAATAAATTAACAAACCAACTTATGTATATAATTTATGGTAAGTGCCAAGTAGGAAAAACACAAAGTGCTGAGAAAGTCAATGATTCTTCTGTGTATGTGTGTTAAAGGGTGTGTGTGCTTGCCAGAGACAGAAAGAGGAGAGGGAAAATGGAAAATCACCCCTTACAGGGATGGCCACACCACTTCCCTTCTCCTGCACTCTCCTCTGGGTATTTTGGGCATCCACCTATATGTGCCTGGGATGTTGTTCAAGTTGTCAGGTCTAGGACTCAAACAGTGGACTTGGCTATATGGGATCAAGCCTCCTTAATCTCCATGCCACCTGCTGGCCCCAAATCAATGATTCTTTTTATTTTTTATTTATTTCTTTTTTGAGAGGTTTTTGCCATAAGAAGCGTGTGCTTGACAGAAAGACAAAGAGAGACAGAAAGACAGAAAGCGAGAAATCACCCCCCAGGGGTGATGGTCACGCCGCAATCCCTTCTCCTCCATTCTCCTCTCGGGATCTTGGGCACGCACACACACGTGCCCGGCGTGAGTTTTAAGCCACTGGGTCCAGGATGCGAACCGCGGTCGACTACATGGGAGTCCAACGAC